GACCTTTGTATATATATATTTACAACTTTTCCTTCATCGACCTTTGTGTATATATATATATATATATATATATATATATATATATAATATATATAATAATATATATATATATACAACTTACGATCGTCCGAACTGAAAAGAATAAAAAAAAAAGAAAGAAAGGATGTTGAATAACACACTCGGTTGCTCGGTAAAGACTGACTTTATTGCCTCAGTAATGCTATATGTATAGTATTACGGTTTGCTTACACTTCATGGATAGGATTAACTATTATATAGTCTTACATCTAACCATAACTACCCCCCGTCAGTTTATGAACATTCCTCATAAACTAATGCAAGGTTACCGACATAATACATAAACAAAACACAACAAAAATAAAAAATAAATAATCTCCCTTAGAGTACCTACAATAGCAATAGTAATAAAAATTAAATTAAATGAAAACAAACTGTTATCTTACAACATCTTCGAACAACAAAAAGTGAAACAAAATCAAATAAACCTTCTAGCGTCTGTCCGTCCCTAGCTTGTAGGAGACAGAAAAGAGGACATACCACATATTTACTTTAGTGACTCCGTCTCTATCGGGAGTTTCAACTGTTCTATGTGAACGGTCCTCCGTTTTTTGGAATCATTCAGACTATGGATCGTACAAATATTACCGATCGAAGTATAATTACCTTGAACGTACCAGTTTCTTCCCCCTATTAGATCCGACCCTACGATAGACTATCGTCCCTATTTTCAATTCTCCCATTCTATCTTTGAGGTTCAAATTAACATTCTACACCCTTTTCCTTTCTCTCTCTCTATTTTCTCTTTCGTTTTTTCCCACACTTTCCTTATCTCCGCTCTGTTACAGGTTATCTGTTGAGCTTGGTCCTCGTTCGTGACTATTTCCTTTCAGTTTCAGTCACCGTATATTTACCCCGAACAGTACCTCGACCGGAGAAAACCGTTGGTTTCTTGTAGACAGGCTACAGAGCAGTTATAGTTACTGAGTAAATATTTTGATTCATCTCTACGGTGGTTTAGACCATTTATATTCCACTGCAATACATTCAATTGAGATAATATGCTCTACCTATACTGTCTGTCATTAAATGTGAGCCGATAAAAATTAAAATAATGCTTATTAAAAATAAATAAAAAAAAAAACCTATACCACTACAACCCATGAAGGGTCTGGGGTTCAGTACTATTTAGAGAAAGCACTGGTTCTAGGTCAACGATTGTGCAAGGAGGTGATTTGACCGAGATCACGCTCAACCGCCAGGTTTTCCCCCGGTATTAATTACTTAATTAAGGGTACCCACTTTATAGAGGCTGGGTGTGCTCCAGGAGGGACTCCTGACCCAAGGTCGCCCCACGGCCAATGAAACAGATAAATAAATTTTCTGCCATGAGCCGGGGTTCCAACTCGGGACCTTTGTATTGGAAGCTCAGTGTATTAAAAATAAATAAAAAGGATAATTATGGTATGAATATTGAAAATGATTTTTATAAGATGATAACAAGTAGAATACGATTAAAAGAAACATTAAATAAGAAAAATGAGATATAAATAAAAATATTTTATAAATTCAATACTCAGGCATAGAAGGAATGACAATGTTAAAAAAAGCCGTTGAATAAAGTTTTATTATTAGATTTAAATGTATAAGAGTTGTGATTATCAAGAGGTATTAACAGTGACAGTAGTATAGGTAGTATGTTTACAGTTACGATTTCTTACCAACTTGATTTTTTTGTAACTTGAGTATTTTTCGAAGAACCACTTTGATCACTCAAAGAGGAATTTTGAGACAATGGACGATTTCTTTTCATGTTATAGTTTAACATAGGTATATTTGATACAGTATCCGGTTTATTTTTATTTATTTTCTTTTGTTCTTTAACGCTAATGTTGACTTTATTTTCATTTTGATTATTATTTTTCGGCAAAGAAACGATTAATTTGTCACAGGAGTCGATTTTATTATCAGAATAAATTTTATTTAAAGTAGATTCCATTATACTTATATTTTTAAAATAAAACTTCGACAGTGCTAGCTAATTTTGAGATCTGTTCAATCAAAGCCTCTGTTGCGAAAGATGATTGCTGTTCGGAAGTGGAGGCAGGCTGAACATGCGCAGCCACAACCTCAGCGTGCGCTCTACTTGAGTCATTTATACTTTTTTTTTTTTTTTTTGGGTCCTCCCCTTCCTCGCCGTCAAGGCTATACGGGGGTTTTCCCGGGCCAGGGAGTGTGGGCGGGGATTTAAAAGACGCCTTGGCACCGGGACGCGAACTCGTGACTATTTTCATAACACAATTATTATATATCAGGCTGCCGGGCAACGGTGGTGCTTTGCACAACGCGTTAGCCCATTCGGCAACCCCGCCCACACTGAGTCATTTATACTGTGTAATTCTTCGCGTCTCAACCTAAACTCTGCTTCACGATATGAAATTTTCTCTCTTCTTTTCATACCCTCTATCCGGTTCTCCCTCTCGTATACTGGACATTTAGAACTATAAGCAGGATGACTACCAAGGCAATTCAGGCACTTAATTTGATCTTTTATGCAATTGTCAGAGTTATGTGAATTTTCTTCATATTTTCCACAATTAATAATATTACAATGCTTTCTAATATGCCTATATTTATAACACGAAAAACAAAGGAGTGGCTTCGGTTCATAAGGTCTTATTTTTATGGACAAGAAATCCAATAAAACTCTTTCAGGTAATTCACTTTTTTCAAACGTCAAAATCAATAATGGAGTGGCTCTATTTTCATTATTTATTTTTTTATATATTCTTTTAACCTTTACAACTCCGTGATTCTCAAATTCAGACACTATTTCATCCTCAGGACAATTTAACAATTCTGGGACGATCCCAGGCGAAAAATGAAGTGATTTGTGTAATTCAAATATAATCGGAATATTTTGGAACGTTTTTATATTTTCTAAATTTCTAAAATCTTTTTCATTATTTACGGTCAATAATATTGTACCATTTTTCAAAAACTTTACAATCACGTGTGGACTATAACCTTTCACAAGTCTGCAAACATTAAAAGGACTGTAGTCCTTAAAAGTTTTATTACTCGGATTATCACTTAATCTCATTATTAAATACTTCTTCGACCACTTTCCTTTATATTTAAATATATTCTCCTGTATGTAAGGAGGTTTTGCCTCCAATTTAGTCTCCATTAGATGAGACGATAAATTAAAAAGAAAATTTATTAAAACAAATGTACAGTATTACTTAAAAAAAATGAAATAACAATATAGAAAGAAAAAGTAAAAGAAACGAAAAAGGTACTCCCTGTAGATAGTGAGATTTGATGTAAACAGCAATGGTAATCCTCACTCACGATGTTCACTCTATCACTGGTAAACAACAACTGATATATATGTTTATATGCTAGCTTTATATTTGATACATTTACTGATTAATAAAATAATATGAATTAAATTTAAGAAACCTACAGATTTAATTTTTAATATACTACTGAATTCGCCATTGATGAAAAATTTGTATAATATTTTTTACTCTCTTTAGTTACAAATATATTTGTGAGTATGAAACTATCAGATACGAATCAGTAATGAGGAATTATAAAATTAAACTAAATGAAACATCATATAGTCAAAGAAAGGTATGCGAGAATCCGGAATATACAAAATTCTTATATTAATAAATTAAGATTAGACATAAATAATGGGCTAAATGCCAAACATTTGATTTTAAGTTATTCATTTTTTTTTTGCAGGAAATCTTTTGGTGAAAAAACCTTAAATAACTTTTTTAATTATGACAATATACAGTTTTTATAAAGGATAAGATTTTAATTATTATTTCATAATTTAAAAAGATACATTTCTTTTATGAATAAAAAAAATCATTTATCTAGAAAAAAGATTTGTACGTATACGTGTACCCATCCCAATAGAACGAGCTATGTGGCGATTCGAAAAATCTAAGGCTTGTCTTTATTATTAATTAATTAAGTACCTACTAAAGTTTTATTTCATTTATTTATTTTAATTTTCTATGCCAGTTTCACTTGCGCTTTATCACATCTAGCAAATTTAATGTATTGGTTATTTGCTTTCATTATGTTATTATTGTTGGAGTAGGTCTCTTGGCCATTATCTTTTTAATCTGCGTCGATCTGTTAACAGGAAGCCGGAAATAGAAGAACTAGTAGACTTTTTTTTTTTCAACTGGCAATGAAAAACAAATCCAATAAGCACCGAAACTTATACTGATAGCTGAATTGAAACCAAACAAATAATTGAATTTGTTAGGAAAAATAAAATTTTATTTTCACAAGAGTCCACTACATTTTGTGCTTTGATAAAATAATGAAACATATTCTCAGTGAGTTTAATACAATACACAAATAAATTTAGAACTTTAGCAGCGCGACCTTTAAATTGATAAATTCATAATCCCATAAAGTAGTCAAATATTGGTAAAAGCATTGAATAATAAAAATAAATATTTTGTAACAATAAACAGAGCCATTCTAATCAGAAGAGCTGATAAGAATTCATGTTGTATAAGGTTTCTATGTACATTTGTAAAATTATTGTAGCAATCAACCACTTTTAGCCTACCATCTGGTATACTTAGCTGGTAGACCTCGGGCCCAGATTTAAAGACGATCAAAGATTGTTATGTTTAGCCCGGTTTATAGGTTGTTAGCAATGACATAAAAAACCCATTTTCGGGTCAAACTCAATTTTTGAATTTTTTGCACTTAGCCCGTAATTGATGTCCAGCCCTCAAATATTGAAGTCGTAAATATTCATAATTGATATAGAACATATAAATTTATTCAATTTTCCACTTATACAGAACTGCTATAGAAAATAGTTTACAAGGTTCATCGGGTCAATTTCGGTAACATTACTTCCAAAATATAGATATGTATGTTTTTGTTACTTAAAGGTACTATTTTCGTAGTTTAATATTTAAATTATGATACTGTTTCAGCTCTAACCATGGCACTTGTAACTAATGATTGGAGGATTGACGTATTGATTGCCATATTCACTTTGTGCATTTTAATTTATTACAAAATTAAGAGCATATATTCATACTTCGAAAAGAGAAACATCAAATATATAAAAGGAAAGTTTTTGCTTGGAAGCGATCCCGATGTGGTATTACTTAAAGTTCACGTCAGTAAGTGGTAGCTTCATACAAGGTTCATATTATATGCTTTATTTTTATTTTTTTTCAGATGAGGTACAGAAGAAGAACAACAAACAAGTTTTCATGAAAGTCATGAATATAAAGCTAATCATTGATTGAGCATTATTCCTTTCTTTTTAAATATATTCTAGTTAATTTTATGAAAGTGCATTATTAAGATTTGGAGATGTATAATTACTTTTAACCGTTCTCCCTCTCCCGAATCTCATTACCCCGTAGCAGGAGCATCGGACGTAGCATTGAACGCTCTAATTTTTTCTATTGGGTTCACCTTTTATGTTACGGGATTTTTCCGATTCGCTGTTTGTTGTAAACACAAGTTTTTTGTGTATTTTTTTTTATCCATAAATATACCTGGACATCACCGGATGCGCAAACGCAAAATCAAATCGATCATGTCTCAATACGACATAGATGGCAAAGTAGTATAATTAATAGTAGGGTCTTATAACGGGGCAAAATGAAGGTCGGTTCATGAATTAGTAATCGTGAAACTATGACAAAAACAATATAAAAAAAGAAAAAAAAAAAGTTTCGTTTTAGGAAATTAACAGAAAAACACTTTTTTTGACAGTGAATCTTTTTGATAGTATTAAAACTAACCTACATATAATTTAGAAAATAAGACTCTTATTAATAAAAAATAAAGGAGATCCATAAATGACTATGATGAGTAGGAAAAGGATTAGAAGAAAATGATAACAAATGGTCATTAAGATCATCTGGAGTAACACGGAGGGAAATGAGGTTATTGGAATCTGGTAGGGATTGATTACGAAGTATTTTCCATTTTGATTTGGAATCGGAAGCATTGGAAAGGGCATTATGGAAGTAGTTGGATTTAGAAAGACGCATTGTGGATTGGGTTGCATTGCGAAGTTGTTTGAAAGACGCATAATCAGCAGGTAAACGGGTTCGACGATATTTGCGCCTTGCTGCATTCCTTCTTATCATCATTTCTTTTATTTCAGGAGTCAGCCAAGGTGCAGTGGGATGACGTAAGGTTCTGGTTTTCAGAAGAGCATGGGTGTTTAATAAGGTTTGTAGGTTTGAAGTTATAATGGACACCATAGGATCGATGGAATTATAGGAAAATATGATGTCCCATTGGAAAGAATCAAGGTCAGATTGAAGGGATTCATAAGCTAGAAGGTTTAAATTACGGTATGAGATCATTTTGGGAGTAAAGGATTTCACGGGTAGGTCGTAATACAGCAAATATGTATTAACAATGGATTTTTTCGCTTTTCTTTAGCCTTCAAAGATTTCGTTTTTGCTTTAGAACAAATGTTTACTACACTACATATTGTTGAGTTTGACTTTGAGTTGCTGTCTTAACTGCTAGCGAAAATAAACCAAACAAACTTCTTATATTATTATAAGTATAATAATTTCTTATATTAAAATTTATTATATTCTATCTAATAATCATTTCTGAAATGTGTAACTATTGTATGTATAAGTACTAATTTTACTTTAATGATTCACACTGAATTCTGAGTTAAGATAATATCCATTTATAGCAAATTTATAATTTATTCATTTTTTTTAAATATTTGCGCTCATTCAGAAATTATTTTTTATTAACAGCCGAAAGTTGGGAAAAGATATACAAAAAACTCGAAAATGAAAAATATGGAGGCTTTTACCAAGCAATACTTCCTTCAATTATGCTCCGAGATCCGGAATACATAAATTTCGTTCTCAAGACCAAATTTGAACATTTCTACGACAGACATTTTATGGTGGACGAGAAAAGGAACCCTCTTGATGAGAACCTATTTTTTTTAAGAGGAAACAAATGGAAATACTTAAGAAGTAAGATGGCTCCTCTTTTCAGTCAAGTTAAGTTGAAGTGGATGTACGAACAAATAGATGAATGTGTAGATATTTTTGAAGAATGCATAGACAAATTAAGTGATGGAAAGGATATAGACATCAACGCTATATTGAAGAACTTTACTGCAGATGTTACTGGTAAGTAATTACTTTTTCTCCTTTGTTCCCTGCAACTATAAATTATTATTATTTATGAACCGGAAAAAGAAAACATGTATGTATGGTCTAATAAGTACTCCCATCACACATAGTTATCGAATTTAGTAAATTTTGCTATTTCATTGGAACCACATAATTTGAATGTACTTTGACCAAACTTCAATTGCGTATTAACATATTGTTAAAATTGACTATGAATTTTTTTTTTTTTTTGCATTTCAACAGAGCTCTGGGTAACTGGGAATATGGTCATATAAAATTATTTCTTTTCATAATAAATACTCGTACTTTAATTAGTTTGGGGCCCCTCTGCCAACAAAGTATAATTTAGAAGTTACCATAAAAAAGTTTGCAGTTACCATTGTTCAAGCCAATAGGTCCAGATAGGTTCAAAATTTATTAGTAGATTAGTATATAATTACAAATTGACGTTGAGTTTTTCATTTTAAATTTCGCACTTCATACAATTGGCCGTAATATCGGTTGTATATAGGTATGCATGTGTTTTTTTGCTTAGTTTTAATTTTTTAATTTTTAGGTTATTTTATTTCATTATTTATTGTATATAATTTTGATTATTATTTTGCTTCTATTTATTTTACATTTTTTGTACATATGTGGTCTGAATGTTATCCTACCTCACTATAACCAATGTCCAAGAGACAGATTGTTGTAATACTCCATAAATATGTTTAAAAAAAAAAAAAAAATATATATATATATATATATATATATATATATATATATATATATATATATATATATATATATATATATATATATACATATATATATATATATATATATATATATATATATATATATATATATATATATATATATATCGATCAAGACATTACTTTTAATTCAGGTATGTCAAATGTTGCCAGTAAGATATAGGGATAACAATAGTAGGATAGGAGAGAAATTTTATTGGTAGACAATCAATTTTGATTGATTGTTTAAATAGGAACTCAGAACCAGGCTTGTTCCTCCATCTAAGGGGAAAATCACTCCAATATTATTGGCGTTAGTAGTAACAGTTAATATAACTTATAATTTATAAAAAGCTGGCATCTTTCCTCACCGAATTCAAATCCCTTGTTACTCCACTGATATTTCTCCTTACAAATCTAGTATCACAACTCATCCCTCCTTTAAAAAATCCTTAAATGAATCCCACTAAACACTTATCCATTCTTCTTTGGAATGAGAATGGTGTTAGAAACCACACTGACGAACTAACAGCTTTATTACTAGACAAGAACGTCCATTTAGCCCTTATTATAAAAACTCTTCTCTTCTTCTTTGTCTTCATCTTCGTGCCATCACTAGCGTCGAGGAGCCTCTTGAGTCTGCCTCTCCGGATGAAAGCCTGCTTGTTCGCTCTCAACTTGGTTCTCAACCTTAATTTTCTTTCTAAGTTTGAGGAGTATAATTTGTAAGCCACTGAATGTAAGGTTATTGGCCTATAGTTTTCACAATCTGTGGAGCTGCCCTTTTTATGAATGGAGACAATTAAACTTAACTCCCAATCCCTTGGGACAATCGTTGTATCCCATATTTTTTGGAGGAATGGTTGGATAATTTAATTAATTCCTGTTGTTAATCCCTTCCCGTTGCTGTTCCTATTTTAATTTTTTGGATGGCATATTCTATATCGTCTTCATCAATGACTTCTAGACTTTCCAGAGTATTATTTTCTACCAGATGTTCTTTTAGGTCAGTGGTTGCTCCTCCTGAGAAGTGTCTTTGATAGAAATTGAACAATTTCCACCGTTGAAGAATTTTCGCTTCATCGGTGACTATGCTGCCACTGGAGTCTTTAACATTTCTCACGGGTTTACTTATTTTTCCTCTTAATATCTTTACTTTACGCCAGAACTTCTTAATACTTACTCTGAGGAACTCCAACATATATAAGTGCGAAATCATTGTCCAGTTTTATTTCATCGATTCCTTTCTTCTTAACCTCGCTGATCCCAAGTATGTACACCTTATATGTCTTCATCTCTTCCACAAGCTCAACCTCTTTTCCTGTCAATGTCTTTATATTCCAATTTCCGTATCGTAAATCCCTATGAGCGCCAGGTTGTTTCTGTGAAATCTGTCCACATCCGAGGCTGGTTTTGTGACTTTGACTAGACTATATACTACCTGGGGGTTATTAGCCCAGTGATGGAGGCCGGTATCCTCGGAACAACTGGTCTCCTGAATATTTGTGTCCCCTCAGGAGAAAGGGTGGCCGGGCTATACCACCCAGCACTGGGTACTGTTGGTCCACGGGTCTTTATTCTGTATATTCAGACCACCCCTCCTAAGAGGGATGCCCCATCCGCCACCCGGAGGACGCCCTTCCTAGTGGACAGATTCTACCGAGAGTATTACGGAAACACGACTGACCAAAAAACAAATTTTAAAAATAATTCAGTACTCAACATATCGTATTGACCTTTCTGACGGTAGAGCACATGCCGGTGCTGCAGTGATTGTACACCAATCCCTCTCTCATCAATTACTCCCATTACCGACTCACGATTTCCTACAATCCACTGCTGTCATAATAAAAACCTACTCGTTTCCTATTACCCTGGCATCAGCGTATTGCCCTCCCAACCAATCCATCTCTAATATCCAATTTAGTTCCTTTATCAATTCCTTAGGACACCATTTCATCCTGGGTGCAGACTTAAACGCCAAGCATCAGATATGGGGTTTAAGAATCATGAATTCTCGAGGTCGAACACTGCTGTCTGCACTCAATTCCCAACATTTTAACCTCGTTCCACCGAACTCACCTACCTACTGAACTACTGGGATCCTGACCGTAATCCTGATATCCTTATTTCTTCATCCACAGTGGTTTAGGCCTCCTCAACTATTCCATTGCATGCCTTAATGAACTTTCCTCAGACCACAGTCCATTAATATTCCAAGTATCACCAGCTCCTATTCCTAAATCTTCTCCACCATCCTTTATCAGAGGTCCAGTCAACTGGAAACTCTTCCATCAAATCCTTTCCGATCAAATTGACCTCAAAATAATCCTGAAAAACCCAGAAGACATCGACAATACTGTACATTCCTTAACCTCCACCATTCAACAAACAGTCTGGAATGCTTCTTTCTCTAATCATTCCCCAAGAATTCAAAAGAAAAATAAATCACCTCATCACATTCTCGAAGTAATTCATACCAAACGCCGTTCCAGATTCTTATGGCAACGTACCAGACATCCCACCAACCGCCGCTCCTATAATTATCGATGTAAACAGCTAAAGCAAGAATTATCTAACCTCAAATCCCAATCCTTTAACTCCTTCCTTGCCTCCTTCTCCGCTCAGAACAATTCTCTCTGGAATACCATCGAAAAAATCCTAAGAACCCATAATAATTCCCATCCCCTCGAGGTGATGGCCTCTGGGCGACGTCTGATGAAGACAAAAATAAGAAATTCGCCAAACACCTCTCCAGTACATTTACTCCTCATCCTGAATCCAATCCGACCCAGACTGCAAAAGTAGAACAATTCCTCTCTTCACCAATTACACTCTATTTACGACCAAAAGCAGTTCATCCTTCTGAGGTCAAATATCGCTTCCAAAAACTTAAAAATACCCATACTTTTATTGCGTACTTTTCGAGTTATTTGCAAAATTATGAATTCATTTGTAACGTCTTGATTCGTTGAGAGGGCATCATCATATGGTTTGAAACCTCCCACTTTTATATTCACCATTATTTAAGTCCAAGTATAAAATTAGGAATCAAAATTACGATTCGCGCACTATAATATATATATATATATATATATATATATATATATATATTATATATATATATATATATATATATATATATATATATAAGTTAGTTTTATGAAGCATTAATTATATACACTATTTTCAGCCTCTTGCGGATACGGAATTGAACCTCAAGCTTCAAAAAATCCTGACTGGGAGTTCTCAGAAGTTGGAAGAGATTTTTTTGATCCGAAAAAGAAGAACATGTTAATATTTTTGTTGCGATTGTCTATACCTCATGTATTTTACTGGTTAAAAGTTGGAACAGTAACGAATAAAGTAAGAAATTTTTTCCTTTCCACAACAGAAAAGATTTTGCATCAGAGGAGAAGTACAGGAGTAGTACGAAAAGATTTCGTCCAATTACTTCTCCAACTGAAGGAAACAGGGACAGTTGAGATAGATTCTAGAGAAACAGAAAAAAAAAAAGTAGATACTGAAACTTCTAATGAGGTAATAGGTAAGTTTCATTGATTAGATATTTACAAAAAATACATTTAAATTAAGTTTCTTTCAGTTCATGAAAGTAAAGTAGTTCAGATTCATGATAATCAAACTGTCGGAGGTCCTGTCTGAAGATAGTTACAGCTACCAAAAAATAGTAATGCAATTGAAAAACCAAACAAGAGATTTACTATCACCAGCTCTAATACTCATAAGAAATGCCAATTTTCTCAATATATCTTATTTTCAGAGACCAAAAAAATTTAACTTCAGTATGCCAGATTAAACAAAGCACGTAAAAAAACACACTAATCAGATTATTTTGCGAGACTTAGTTATTTGGACTCAGGAAGCCCCAAAACGTTCTGTTGAAACTTTCTGTTGAAAACTCGGAATCGAAATCTTCCACAATTTCAATACATTTTCTTACTACATTTATATTTCAGGTATAGTTAAGCGCGAAACTTTATAAATGTATAAAATGGAGTATTACAAGAAAAGAATTTGAGTTTTGCCCATGAACTCCCTAACTCACTTTAAATCATCAAGTGAAACATTTTACATTTTTTGCTTTAAAATATTCATTTTTAGGACATTTAGGTATGGATCGTTAAATTGCAGTCGTTTTTTCATAAATCAATAAAACTCATGCGATTGCTGTAAATAATGGAATAAACATCTTAAATTTGTCTACAGATAAATATAGAAAAAAAATTGAAATGTTTGTATTGAGGGACTCTTCTTCCAAACGAACCAATATAAACTACATGGTTAATATTTTCTTCTTTTTTTTTTTTAGAGTTGACAGATAATCTCTTAGCTGCACAGTCATTTGCATTTTTTTTGGCTGGATATGAAACTACTTCAAATACATTATATTTCACATTTTATTTCTTGGCAAAACATCCAGAAATTCAAGAAAGGGCCAGAAAAGAGGTGCAAGAGATCAAAGAAAAATACGGTCAATTTACATTCGAATCCCTAAAGGAGCTAAAATACCTGAATTATTGCATTTTAGGTAATTTATTTTTCTAATTAAAAGAGTATGTAGTTGAACTATTCAGTCTATTATTGCAAATATTATTTTCGTATTTTGTTCTAAATTTAAATAGCTGTTTTATTGCTCTTTTTAATAATTGTTAAACTCTTTTATAATTTAGTTATGAATGTAATATATGTAAGTTTCCTACAGTGTACTACAACAATGTTGCAACCTTCAGTGTGTTATCACTTGTGTTTTCTAATGAAATATGATTTAAATAGTGATTATTAATTTGTATTAGTGAAACTACGTGTAATTTAATTCTTTTTAAAAAAGAATAAAATCTCGTTAAAACAATCTTACAAAGTTTTCAACTGGTAAGTCATGGATGTACTTTATGTTCAAGTTGTTAAGAAAGCCGAGAAAGAATTTGTGATCGAATGCATTTCCATTGAAAAGAATACTTGGTATTTGTAACCAGAAGAATTTGTAGATACAAGTATCCACATTACACTATCAAATAAAAGTATAATAAAAAATACAATGTCTACTATTAAGAACCAAGAAGGTCATAGAGCAGTTGCTGTAAAAATATCGAAAAAAAAAAGAATATCGAATATTGAATAGTTGACCGTTGCATTATAAAGGAAGGAGATAGTCCAGGGTGGTGGTCATAAATAGGCTAAATAGTGGCAAAACTATTTTATTAAAACCCAACGTTTCGACCCGACTTTGCAGGTCTTCTTCAGGACTTCCTCAGGTCTTCTTCAGGTAGCTGAGGTGTGTTCAGCTAGGAGTTTCACTTAGGACACTTCAGTTCTAGCACTCTAAAAAAAAAAAAAAAAATGATGTATTTATAATAGAAGATCTCAAAGCCATCTTCTTTTCAGAGAGGGAGGAAGGAAGGTTAGAAACGAGAGGGTTCGGATGTTTTTGAAGTTTATTATGGAAGGATAGGTATCTGGATTGTGCCAATTCGAAAAAAAATTGGAACTTTAAGGTCTTCTTTATGGATGATTTTATTAGTGACAAAGTATGGAGCATTGAGAATTTTACGAAGGATTTTGGATTGTAATGATTGGATGTGTGAGGAATTTGATAGCTTTGTGGACCCCCAAATCTCAACTCCGTATGTCCAAATAGGTCTTATTGTAGCCATGTATATGATTGTTTTGTAATTAACTGACAGCTTAGAGCGTTTGACAAGTAAGTGCTGGAGTAGTCGGAAACGTCGAGCGGTTTCTTGTCGTTTAAGTCTGGTATGAGGATTCCAAGTTGGACTTTTGTCCAAGCGGAGTCCAAGATACCGAATTCGTTCAACAGGGATAAGTGGGTTATTATTAAAGGATACTGTAGGACAGGAAGCCATAGGTTTACGATGGGTAAAGGTGATTTGACTGGCTTTATTTTAATGTTTTTTAATCTTCCAATTTTGGCACCATTCTTCGAGGTTTGTGATGTGTGATTGGAGAGTTTGGGATGCAATTATTGGATCATTATTAAGTGATAGGACACATGCGCCATTGGCATGATGACGTGGCGATGACAGTGTTGGGGTGTAGGCTGTATAAACTGTGTAAAGGATAGAACCTAGGATATTACCCTGAAGAACACCAGAGGACTGGGAAAAGAGGGATGAATAAGCATTATTGTGATTTACTTTGAAGTATCTATTAGTTAAGTAGGAACGAATAATGAGGAAGTATGTAGGATCTAGGAATTTACGGAGATTGTAAAGCAGTCCTGGGTGCCAGACTCGATCAAAAGCCTTTAATGAAATTAAATGTAATAATCAATGATAGGTTAAAAGCAATATCTATTTATGATAGTGGCTCTAACGTTACATTAATTAATCAACGAATTGCTGATTTGCCCAAGTTGAAATTTATTGAACAAAAGAATGTACTGAAAACAATCAATTAAAAATCATAATATTTCCATCATTGTGAGGGTGAGTGGAGGAATATTGCAGGATTGGAGCTGCGAACTATTACCAGTGGCTACACTGAATTCAGGAAACAGGAGGAAGGTTTGAAGAACTGGTGAAAGAACCATTTCTCCCATGTTAACATTACAATCTGTCAAATAGAAGCCAACAGAAGAATACATATTTATTATGATAAAGCTCCACGAACAGTGGAGATATCTTGCTAGGACGTCTAAGACTACGATATCTTCTGGAGGTTGGCGTCTGATTGGGATTTGGACTATCTTTGCCAGTGATATTGGTTTACTATATTTATTTCTCGAGTATCGTACTAAGTATCATTATATAGACATACATCTTGGATGCTCATGTTGTTATTGTTATTTTAGCTATTTATATGTACATTGTTATTTTGATAGTTTCAATTAGTGAGTTTCTATTTATTGTGAATGTTAATCAATTGTTAATTTATTTATTGTAGATAGTATTTAGTAGGTTATAATTATTAACTTTATATAATTATTTAATAGGTTATAATAATACAATAAATATATTGACAATCGATTACTTTACTTTACTCCTCGGCGCTATAGCCCGCGTGGGACCTTGGCCTTCTCAACAATACGTCGCCACTCGTCGCGGTCCAATGCGACAGCCCTCCACCGCCTGACACCAAGCTGTCTCAAATCCGCCTCAACATCCTCCAGCCAACGGAGTGGTGGCCTTCCTCTCCTTCTTGTTCCTCCAGGTCGCCCATACAATATTTTCCTCGGTACTCGGTGCGCTGCCATCCTTTCCACATGCCCTAACAATCTTATTCGTCCTGCCTTAATGACACTTATGAGATATGCGTCCCTGTAGAGTTGTCGCAACTCCCGATTGTATCTTGACCTCCAAACACATTCTCCGCATACGGGCCCGTAAATCTTCCTAAGAATCTTCCCACAAGCTCCCCCACTCCAAGAGCCCTCTCATGTTTTGCTCTGAGATAACCCACGTCTCGCTTCCGTATGTGACTACCGGACGAATCAATGTTTTATAGATTGTCACTCTGGCATTCCTTGATAGTCTTCGAAACGTGAGTAGTCGCTGTATGGCATAAAAACATCGCCTTCCCGCAGCAATCCTGGCTCCTATCTCAGCTCCTACATCATTGTCTGCCGGCATAAGGGATCCCAGGTACTTGAATTCTCTGCATACTGGGAACTCGTGTTGGCCTATGTTTAGAGTCCGATCTTGATGAGGACGATGTCTTGAACTCTTCATGTACATCGTCTTTTGCTCGTTTATTTGCAGACCTCGAGCTGCTGCAGCGGTCTCAAATTCCTTCAATGCATCCGCCAGCGGTGGGAGCGTCTTTGCCACAATCTCTACATCATCTGCGTACGCCATGTGCTGTGTGAAGCGGTCAAAGATGGTACCTCCAGGGTTGGTTCTTATGGCCCTTGCCGCCTTCTCCAAGGTCATGTTAAAAAGGGGAGTAGCCTTGGTGTCTCCTTGCATTATTCCCGAAACCACAGAGAACTCCTCTGACAGCAATCCTTGTAGTTTCACTCTGCATCTAGTATCTGCCATTGTCATTTTTACTAAGCGAGTGAGCTTCTTAGACACACCCAGAGAAAGGAGATCCCTCATCAAAACCTGCCTATCCAGTGAGTCGTATGCCTGCTGAAAATCAATGTAGAGGTGATGTAGGTCAACGTTGTATTCCAGTGACTTCTCTAGCACTTGTCGTGCGGTAAAGATCTGATCAATAGTAGATCTACCCTTCCTAAAGCAACACTGATATTCGCCTACTTCCCTCTCCATGTGTGATATCAGTCTCCTAGCAATGGCAGAGGATAGTATTTTATAAGCTATGCCAAACAGTGCTTCTGGGACCTCTTCTTCCATCCATATGTCATAAATGAGTTTATGGAGCTTATCCCAAACTTCATCTCCACCATATTTAAAAAGTTCAGCCTGGATTCTGTCTATGCCTGGCGCCTTATAATTCTTCAGACTCTGCACAATTTCCATTATTTCCTCTTTGTCGGGGGGGACGTCGTCGTCGACCAGTTCCTAGGGGTCAAGTTCTACTTCTATTTCATTAGGCCTTTCAGCGTTTTCTGTTCTGTCCCGGTTAAGCAGCTCCCGGAAATGCTCCGCCCATCTGCCAATAACTGCTTTCTTGCCAACCACAAGGTTTCCTTCCTTGTCTCTTCTCTTACACCTCTGAAGAAACTCCTGGAGTCTTGTGCATTGAAGCTCTCTTTTATTTCCTCTAATTTTCTCTTGTCAGACAACCTTTCCGTCTTTTTGGCTTCTTTTCTCTTTTCTTTGAATTCTTGGGCAGCAGATCTGGTAAGTCGTTGAAGCATTCTCTTCCTTGCTTCATTACTTGCATCTACCTGGGTCTTGCATTCTTCATCATACCAGTCATTTCTTGCTGGTTTTTGAACTTCACCAAGCTCTTCTGCCGCTGCGGTTGCAAGGGCTTCTTTCATCTTTGTCCACCTTGAGTCGATATTAAGTACTTCCTGGTGATTGGTGAGTTTCTCAGTAGCATTGGTTATAAACCTCTGCCTCACGTTTTCTTCTTTAAGGCGCTCAACAGCAAATCGTGGCGCAGGTTTCTCAGCTCTTCCCTTGGTTCTTAACGCAATCTTTTGTCGGTATTTCACCCTCACCAAATGATGGTCTGAACCACAGACAGCCCCACGAAAACTTCTCACATCCGCTATGTCCGTTGCGTGTCTTGCCTGGATCAGCACATGATCAATCTGGTTGCGTGTTTGCCCATCTGGAGATACCCTAGTCTCCTTGTGTAGGTTCTTATGAGGGAAGTAAGTACTGCTGACTGACTAAGTATGTTCCTTTCCGTAGCGAAGTCCACTATTTTGAACCCATCGTCATTGGTTTCCTCATGCTGACTGTGGGATCCTATGGTGGGTCTAAAAAATCTTCCTTGCCTATTTTTGCGTTAAGATCGCCCAATATTATCTTCACATCATGACCAGGCATCAAGTCGTAGGTTCTCTCCAAGGCTTCGTAAAAAGCGTCTTTTGTCTCTTCATCGGCATCTTCTATTGGCATGTGCGCTAATGGTTGAGATGTTAAAGAATCTCCC